CTCTTTGCCTCATCCGGGAAGGAGAGGAATAATATCCCCATTTATCCATCATTACCGGCACCCTCCATTTGTTTTAGATGAGTTTGTGCAGAGAGCTGTTGGAACATGGAGCGAATGAGGGATTGTAGACGAGCAGAGGTGATTGTGAAAAGGAAAGAAAAAGTACATTTGATCAACAAACCACATGATGCGTCATAGCAGATGACGCTAATAATGATTGAGAAGCTGCTCTCCAACTATGGCAACATCGAAGAAAGCAACGGCACTGCCTTTACCACCCAGGAGCTGTGTGGGCTGCTCTCGCTCATCTCCCACTGCTTTGTTTCATTCCACAATTGTTGGAGAGAAAGCAACACCCTGTGGGAAAAGTAAGCTGGCAAGCCTGTCTCTTCTTGCTTCCAAGAATGGCTCAGCTTGTCAGTGTGTCTGGGCAGGGTGAGAGTAGAGGGCATCGCTCCGGGCACCATAGGGAGATGGGCATGCCAGTGGGGTGCAGCGTGCAGCAGTCACAGTTGTTGGCCCACTACGACTTTCCGTGAGTTTGGGGGGCATCAGCTCAGCGTGGGTACTCTCGTTGGCAGGCCACAAGCCCAAAGCGTTTTCGACACGGACAAGTTCAGAAATATCAGAAGTAGCATCTAGTGATTACCAAACCCAACACTTATGACATTCTTTCTTACATAGAATCCAAAAGGTGAAATTGTGAGGAATGTAGGTCGCTCTTTTCCGCACACCGAACGTGAATAGAAATGTGAAACCTCTTCTTTTAAAGGGGACCTATTATGCAAAACTCACTTTTACATGTTGTTTGAACATAAATGTGTGTTGGCAGTGTGTGTACACAACCACCGTATAATGCAGTCTCAGAACAAGCCGCTCGCTGTTTCTGGGCGAAGTGAGGTCGTATTAGCATAGACCCGCCCCTGAGTGAGTAGGGATGTTAACCGATGACCGTTTGACCGATGGTTGACCGTACCAACGTTAACCAATCAAAGTTGTCGGTTAAAAAATTTGCCGCGAGGTCACAGCGTTTGGGTTCGCGCACTCACAAGATTTGCGAAAAGTAAAGGCTTCAGGCTAAAACACTCGAGGTTAGAGCCAGGGCAGGCGGCAGGATGAAGCGTGCAAATAAATTAGTGTGTGGGACCATTTCACCTAAAAGAATGACTCGGATGTAAGTTGCTGGGCTTAGATTTGGAAATACATTACATCTACATTTCAGTGGTCACGGATAAGGGGATGATGATCATCATCTTTCTTTATTATTGTTAGCACTAACGTTAACGTTACCTCAAACTAAAGCGGCGACTCTTCGGAGCTGTCAATTTCTTAAATGAGCCATGACAATGTTTCAAATGAGCTTCTAACGCTAGACTAACGCCTTTATTTTCAACGCGATCACCGGCTTGTAAAAAAGCACCATTTTAAAACTAAAAAGGAGTCATTTGTCCTCCGAATACAATGCAAGCTCCTTGGCGCCGTGTTTGCGGGACTCATGTTTCGCGCTGTATGGGGATTTTAAAAAAGTGACATGAGTGGAAGGGTGGCAACAGGGCAGTGTGTATGTGTGCGTGTGGGAGGTAGATCAGCAGAGAGATGCGACAGAGGAATGGCTTTTATTTCAAATAGTATAGCATATTTTAAACCAATTAACAGGTTTCAACCGGCTAATGAGGCTCGGTGGTCGGTCAAGAAAATTTTTAGTTTTCGCCATGCCTATGAGTGAATGCACCCAGTTCGCCATAGTTTCAACGCCGGAGAAACAGTAGACAAGAATGTCTCCTAAGCGATTGGGGTCTTGTTGGATGCAAGAGTGAACATAGCAGTCGTCCCGGAATCTGAGCCACTAAAGACGCAGTGGATTTTGTTTTTTGAAGGGAATGGGCCCCCAAATCTACCTAAATGCGTTTAAGTTTGCGCAATTTATTTTACATACAGAAAGCAGGTTTTGCTACAAAAATGTTACTTTCGTGATCCAACTTACAGTTTGTGGAGTGAACTTAGTCAGGCAGTAATGAAAGGGAGAATGCTCACTTTATATCCATAAAACAATTCTGATGAACTGTAATAAAGTTTACCAGTTTGTTAAGCACCCCCTGAAAAGGTCTGTCTTTGTTTACTCTTAGTTGTAACGACTTTCTGTGTGTAATTCGCTGTGTATGTTGATGATAATGAACGGGAGAGAGAGTTTATTAAGGGAGGATAAGACTTTAATGCGCACTTATTATACCCACTGTTTATTCAGCTCTCACAGATTTTCTCAAGTAAAACGGACAATTCATCTTTTGTGTGGAGAACAATAAACTTCATAAAACTCATCAGTAAATAGTTGGCCTTCATTCGGACAGGGTCGGCTGCAGCAGGCTTGTACTAATAGTGGATAAAAGCAAGATAACAAATAGGATATAACTGTAATTAAACAAACTATACCATACAGCATATATTCTTTAGCTCTGTAGCCATTAATGTCCTACTCAGGGTGAAACTGAACACCGCAACTGGGTTTCTTTTCTGACATTTTCATTCCACGAGATTAGATTAGACCATAGACAGTATAAGAAGTGGACAGAGCCATCTCATTGGAACTCAAATGAGACAAATGAAGCCATTTTTAGTGTGTTTTTTAGGACCTCTTGACGCGCAGACTCAAACCGACTCAAACAGAGCTTGGCGACGTAGATGTGACGTGAGCAACCCGTCTGTCTTCTAGTGGCTGTGGCATGAGAAATCTGAATCATTCCCTTACGAAACTTGCAGAGAGTGTGAGTAGGAGCTGTCCATGAGCTAAGAGCAGGAGACACTTTTGCTAGGTATTCTGATGAACTATTTTTTCATTTTGCCTCCACATTTCTCCAATTGCCCGCAATCTTCTCCTCCTGTCCATACGGTAATCTCTCTAATGTGCAACAGAGAGTCGTGTGGTTATGACGCAATCGTTAGCCTACTTTTACAAAAAACTGCTTCTATGGGGCCATAACATAAGCTACAAGGTAATGGAGCATTTTATACATTGTCTTGTTTCTTTAGAAACAAAAAAAGGACAAATGGAGTCTTCAAACGCCTCAGATGTAAAGTTATTCGCTGTCAAAGTGACACCAAAATGAATGGGAGTCAATGGAAATGCTAACTCAAGTGAAGTTCTGCTACAAGATGGCGGCACTCGGCCGGCTTCAACTTCCGTTCGATGGATTACCCCTTTGGTCTTGACACTAGAGAGCGAACTTTTGAAGCTCCGCCCTCTTCTTGAAAGAGGGCCGAAGGCAGCAGCTCATTTGCGTTTAAAGGGATACACACAAAAACATCAGGTTTTTGCTCACCCCCCAAAATTTAAACATACTGTAAAAAACTATCTGTGGGGTATTTTGAGATAAAACGTAATAGTATACTGTATACTATACTATATACTGGCAGGTATGAAAACACTAAATTATGACATAAATGTTCTATTATTGGTCAGATCTTTACAACCCAAGTTACACCTTTAAAAAGAAATTTAAAAAGAAACCATGGAAAATCAGCCCTGGCGACAGTGGAAACAATTTTGGAGAATTTCACATGCAGATGTCATACATAACTGCCTCAAATTTATGAAGACACAGATGAGCAGTGAGAGAAAAATACACATCTGTGCATCAAAATCAGCCCACTCCCACATCAAAACACTTGTCATTCAGAGTTCTACAGTACCGGCTTTCCTCCCTGCGGAGCAGTGCAATTACTTTTGCCCAGAAGTTGACGGTCTCCCTCGGTCCTCTTTTTAGCTGGAGAAAACTTGTTATGGATGACTAAGAGGAGCAACGATATGTGCTGTGAAACCTGGACAGTTGAATTGGACTGTGAAGCCTGAACAGAAATCAGACAGAAGGAGTGATTTAGACAGGGACCATGTGAAGTTCACACAGCCTTTTGAGCAATATAATCTGATGCAATACACTAGAGCAAACACAGTAAGCAATTTCCAGAGGACGTTTTGAGAAGGATGACATCCATTTTACCTTTTCACCAAGAAGCAAGGGCAGGCCAGAGAAAGGGCTCACTTTAGACCGCTGCAGGCCATCAAAGCAATAGCATTTTCCTGCCTAGTTTCCAGAGATGATGATTGTAATATTGCTTACAGTGTACTCTCCTCTTCCATTAAAAATGATGTCAAACATCAAGGGGCATGTGTACTGATGTACTGACGAAAAGCATAAAAGTGAAAAACATCCAACTAATAATAAAAACCAGGCCTTACATGTCTCAAAACGTTTTTCTTTTAAATATCTGTCTTTAATGAGTGAATATATTACATTCAGTGAAAATCGGAACTTTATAATGAAAACCACCAGCGAAATAAAAGACAGATAAAGGTTATTTCAAATCGTATGGTTTAAATCTCTTAAAAGTGCCATTGTTATGCGAACCCTGTACATATAAGAGATGATTTCGACATTTCATCAGAATCCGTAACAAAGACAATTTTACACGCATCGATACAGAGTCCAGACAGACAAATAAAAGCCTAAGGTGATAGTCGTTTCACAATATCACATAATAAATAAGGCCAAATAAATATCTATTCCATGTTAAAGGATTCAGTTCAGAAATGTGATGGCACATGTAGTCACGTTAATGACCGAGTCACTCGAGATACACGAGTTCCCTCTCTTCCCCCGACTCTACCCATGATCTCGCGTATTCAACGTCCGACCTTCAAGCATCATGGCTCAAACGTGTGGTTAAAAGTCATGTGTCAAAGACACAAGGGAGGCTCAGGAGGGAACAAGGACAATTCCTGCCTCTGGGAACACGCATTTAACATTCACCAGTCACAAACGGGCACCCACACAGAATTTAAACGGTATTGCTGACAGCAGTTCTCGAGGACTGAATTGTCTTAAATTGGCTGTCTAACAGCAATCTGCTCTCCTAAGGTCACGCAAATACAGGGTCCAAAACTAACGCGAGGATGAATGAATTAACAAATCTTATTGACCTTTTTTGCATTTTTAAAGTATATAGTCTATAACGTGGAAATATATGTGTTGTGTGTTATACTGAATGTTAATTCTGGACCCTGAACACAAACATGTTTCAGTTTTTGGAGTGCATGTTCAGTACCGGAGCGTGTAATGGTGAGACCACATTAAAGCCTTTTCTCTCCCTGAGCCTGATCACAGAGCTGGAAGTAGGTCTGGGAGGAAGAAGGAGATAGAGAGCGATGATGTTCCCAACAGATTGCTGAAATTGGAGCAGTGGACCTCAGGGAGCAGACCTGCTGGATGGATGGGACTGCGTTTCTTCAGGGTTTCCTTCTCCTCCATGCGTCCTTGCTCGAGCTCCTGATCCGCAAAGCCGGGCCAACACTGTCCCAATGTTACTTCAACGTTGTCCCAATGCTGCGAAAATGAGGCCATTCCTCATTTCGACCACCTCTCCTAAGACTGTGCTCCGTATGAGGCTGTCTATGGCAGTTTTATTGATTTTTTTATTGCAGTTATCAACGTGTAATTAAACGTATCTGCCATCTATTTTTAAAAGAAAATTCAAAGTCTCACCTATGTCATATGTAATAATGTAATTAATTCCTCTGGAAGGAGTTCTCTGCTTCTTTTCGAAAAATGAAGGGCATTTCATTCTGAAAGTCCAGCTGTGGGGTAAAGTCCAGACTCGGGGCTCTTGCTGAATTTTTCCACCAAGGCTGTCAAATCTAATTTTTCTTAGATTTAGTGCAGAAAACTTTTCTTGGCTTTTTGCAGCAAAAGGATAGTAGAAAAAAGAGAAAGATTAGCTTGCAATTAGAAGAGGCTAATGAGTGTTAAGCTCCATAACAGGGGTCTGACGTGGGTAATTCTAAACCGGCAGCAAGTGTTTCAATGCCCCCCTCTCTTCGACTGAGGATTGATTTGGCAATATACGCATGGGCCTTCAAGTTCAGTGTCATGTTGGCTGGTGCCAAAAAACGTGCTGGGCTGTTTGTGTGACTTATTATTATAAACATTACTACTAATTGGGCGTAATCAAAAAAAATCCAGTCTATAATCGTTAGACTAATAGTAAAAATGGTTTTGAAAACTTAATGTTTAATAAGGAATCTCAGGGTCCAAAATTAACTTTTTGGTGGGTGAATTGAGAAAAAAAAAATATTTTGCACCGTCATGAAGCTGTATTATCTTTCACAAAAACAATTTTGTACAGCATATTTAGATTATGTTGGTTTAATATGACTGGTTTCTGTACCGATAAAAAGTTTGGGGTCATTAAGGTTATTTACATAAATGGGAACAAGTGATTTATGTTCCTCAATATTACTCATATTAAATCATATATATAAACTTTCACTCAGCAAGGATGCATTAAGTTGATCAAAAGTGATGGTACAGAAAGGTATAATGTAAAAAAAATATTTCTGTTTCCATTTAAACGAACGCTGTTCTTTTGGATTTTTATTAAACAAAGAATCCTGAAAAAATGTATCACGATTCAAAATTTTAGCACAACAGTTTTAAACATTGATAACAAGAAATGTTACTTCAGCAATAAATCAGCAATTTATAATGATTTCTGTAGGGTCAAGTGATCCTGAACACAGGCTGCTGATAATTCAGCTTTGCGATCAAAAAATTACATTTTAAAAAAGAAAAGAGTTATTTTAAATTGTAATAATATTTCACAATATTACTGTTTCCCATTTTTAATCAAATAAATGCAGCCTTGGTGAGCATTCAAGCCTTTTCAAACTTATTTAAAGAAACCTTCCCAACCCAATTGACAGTTTACTAAATTGATCATTTAAAGCAGCGGAAGGTCAGATTACCACTCTTACCATTCAATTAAAACATGTAATGTTATAGTTACCAATAGAGTTTCCGGCCAACTGGTTAAACTAACCAATTTGTACTTGAATCTGTGGCTTGGCGAGTGTTAATGTTGGACCATGGATTTCTTTCAAAGATATAAGGGAATGCAAAAACGTTGAAATCCTCTCTAGCATATTAGCAGAACTGTACAATGTGATGGTGTTATGATTAAAACTCACATTAGTGGACCGTCAGTCTAAAGGACTTATCGGAGCAGCATTTCTTCAGAAGGGTTAAGTAGTGCAGACAATGGATTGGTTTTGACACTTAATAAAGATGACGAGTTTAACTCCACAAAGGATAATACGAGTCTCGGTGTGCGGTCCAAGTTCGTTTTGAGGTTTTAGAGGAAAAATACCCTTGAAGGTAACTGAGTGCATGTGGATCTGAAGGTACTCGTTGTCACTGAGGAACTGCATCAAGAGTTCATATCCATCTGAGGCTTGTGTCACTGTGCATGTGTGTTTTTAACCTTCCTGCTGAGCAAGAGCCTGCAGATCAGCTGTATGGATCGAGTGCTGTAAGAAGACGTTCTTTCGGCTGTACATGTGTAAAGACAGAGGGCCACGGGGCGGCTGACCCAGACGGCCGGTAAAGGAGGACTGAAGCCTGGGAATAGGCCCCCGCTCGCTCCGCAGCCCCCGCTCGCTGTCCGAGGACAGGCTGCGTGAGGGACTGGCCTTGCTGGGGAGGCTCACGCTGCTGCCGGCCACCGCCCGAGGGATCTGAGACGGTCCCAGGTGCTCCGTCTTCCGTAGTCCAGGTACCTCAGACATGGACTGCCCACCTTCAGCTCTTCGTACCAGCTCCCGCACGCCTCCTCCCCCATTGCTGCAAGGCCTCTCTTCACATGGTCGACTGAGCTGGTCTGCAGCGAGCAATCGCGACACTCTTCTTGTGAGGCTGCTGCTGCTGCTGCTGCTGGGAATGTTGATGTTTTGGCCTGTGGGTTGACTTGGATGGATTGCCTGTTGAAACAAAAGATGGGACAGTGAGATAAAATTAAGCCACTCAATTTGCTGACATTTTGACAAAGCTTCCTTGGCGGTCTAGAACCTTTTCTAATTGTTTCCAGACCAACTGGAACTGTGCCCTTTTTAGGAAGAGGAGGCCAAAGACAAACATTGTGGGGAGGTGGCTCGAGAAAAAGCCCACACTGAGGAGTTTGAGCCACCTGTTCATTTCGCACACAACACTGCTTCTTCCTTACATAACTGGCCCTCTATTACTCACAATGCTGAATGAGTACAAGGGGAAATATTGCGCATGAAAAAGAAATTAGCTGCTAACTCAAAAGTGCTTGTTTGATTTACGCTGTAACTCAACGTGTAACTCAGACTGAGCTGGCAGCCAGAAAGTAATACTTGATGCTAATCAGCATTTCACATAGTGATAAAACCTAATTAAGTGTGATGTGGCTAATGTGGGAACTTCAGCTGTGACATGAAATTGAATTTAAAATAGAGTCTGTAATTTAATTCATACATTATGGGGCAGTTGAAAGGCGTTGAGAGACTTACATGCCAATGCAGGTGAGAAAGGGGACATGCGTCCAACGTGTGCTAATATAACTTTATCATTTACGGTGTAAAATGCATTTGTTTACCTTCATACTACATGTACTGTACACTTCCAACTAATGCAAAGACGCAACATTGTTTCCTTAAAACAAGCTCACAAACAATTCTGCAGTTCTCGGTTACGAACGGCACAACCAAATCCAACGTCTGATTTACACGTATTTTTTTTTTAAGTAACAAGCTTTAAATCACGTTGTCTGTCTGAATAATTTGTCTAAAGCAGTTTATTCCATTTATTCTGTAATGTTCACTATTATTATTACTGAACATTTTCATAAATACATAAATATTGTGCCTTTTTATAATTTGGTCTTCGCCTTACTGTTATAATTTGTATTTTTTACTTTATATTAAGTAAATAAATAAAAATGTAATTGCCATCATCTTTTCTTATATTGTACCTTTAAATATTTTTTTTTATTTGCTGTTTTAATTTTCTGTCATGGAACAGCACTTGCTATTTACTATTTTGTACTTTTTGTTCATACTTTCAGCCAATTTTCACTTGAAATATTCTGAACCACTTATTTGTACCCACAAAAAAAAAAAAAAAAAACACACCACTTCATCTGTCATTGGGCAAGTTTACAGACATCATGATTAGAAGTGGGTGTTTGGGAATTTTCAATGTCTGTCTCCTCTCAAGTACGCGCTGCGGCATTCACAGTACAAATTCAGGCCCTAGCAGACAAAAAATGCATCAGATGGTGACAGAGAGAGAGAGAAGTTTGATACCTGCACTGGAAAAAGACCAGAAATGCGCACACACACATACACAACTACAGTGTCATCTGGAGGAAAAACAGCAACCGGAGTAAATCAGACTGATTTAACGGTCGTAATCCATTTGGGTCTTTATTAGCCTGTGAAGAAGCTGGTCCTGTGCTAATGGCACGCTTCTGTTAAAAGCCCTCCGGGTGATTATATGCAGTATGGAAGTAGCAGGATTCAGCCTGCTCATTTTCCACTCTTCAGCACACCTACATACACATACACGCTCACGCACACGCTCACGTCCGCAACAAGCAACTGTTGCAAAGAGCCACGCAGTCTAAGCCGCAGGCAACGGACAGTAATCCTTGTGTATTATGTATAGTACTGGACTGATAACTGAGCGCAGAGTACAGATATATTGTTCTGTATTACATAAAAAAATCCACTCAAGCAAGCACGGCTCAATCTCATATTCTCCGAAAAAAATTGTATGTGTGGGGAGAGAAAACAATTCCACGGCACTTCTCGTCAGTCTCGACAGACAAGAATGCATTTCTTTATTGTTTTGTTTATTTCTCGAAATCATGTCAAGTAAATAGACAATATGAATCTCAGATGTTTTCCTCAGATAAACAAACATGATAAAAAAGGAACACTGCATTTACAACCCATTTTGTGTGTTGGGATCGTATTTAGAGGAGTAGCCCACAACATTTTTTTAGTCGGGAAGTTCGGTCTGGACTCGATCCATTGAAGAGTAATTATGATCGGCTCAGAATTAATCGGGCCAATCAAATTGCCAGGGTGGTCTTTATACAATGATGGACAGATGATTGTTACGTAATCATCACGTTATCGAAGAGTGCTTGGTTTCAACTGGTTTCCCTCAAAGATGACTGCAGCTGTATAGATTCTGCTATCGTGTCTGTTGTAAAAGTAATCAACACCGCATTAATTTAAAAAGATGAACAGAGAACTGCAATCAAGGCATTTGTCGATCGATAAGATGTGTTTGCCGTCCTTTATACGGGATTCGGCAAAAGTTTAATTTATCAGCTGGCTCTGATGGTCGCTAAGAAGATGGGATGCAATGAAAACCCTGTGGTCGTTGTGGTTTGTCCTTTGGTCGGACTCATGGAGGACCAAGTAAAAGAAGCAACACTCATTTTATGACTACTTCCAGCGTACATGCAGTTGAGTTCTGTTGACAACTATGCGTAGCTCAACATATGTCACTTACTGCGTTGCTCTGATTGGTTATAGGTCTTTCCAATTGAGTGCAGAGTTGTTGTTGTTTAAGACACGCCTCATAATCAAAACCCTATGGAGCAGTATCAGTCAGGCTTTGTTTATTCATCTTTCAGGAGAAAACTTGCATTAAAGCAGCACTATGCAGTGTTTTTACTTTAATGGAATAGCTTCTGAGTTATTGCAATGGTTATATGACTATTTTCGGGTTGAATGTTGAGGTGATATCAGGTCTCGCGATGTAACGAATTGCTTTACGGCAAGAAAGGTCTGCTAAAATGAGCATCAAAAAGAAATAACCCGGCGCCGTATACATGTGGTGTTCGTGGTGATACAATACAGACTGCCGACAGTTCAACAGGGCGCAGCTCTTAAAGGGGCCACGCCTTATTTCCACTCGTTACAGCTTCCATCCTACTGAACAGGTACCGGTATACATGGGGAGGGAATCAGGCCGCGAGTGCAGAGACATCTCTGCGTGAGTGCTATTTACGACAGTATAAGTACTCCACAGCAACTCTGGGGGTCACAGTTTGACAAAAATGGAAATCCTGCATAGTGCTGCTTTAAATATACCGTAACACACCTCTGATCGCTCTCAATCAGACAATGCGATGGTAAACAATTAAGCGCATTTTGGAGCACAGCATGCTGCTATCTTTTGTCACAGTCTTCCAGGCTCTATTTTCAGCCAATGAGGGTCACAGGCGTATGTTGTCTGCTTGCACATCCTGAAACTCCATCCGTCTGAGCCCAAGTTAAGATGATAAAGAGTGGGTTTCAGAGAGAGAGAATGAGAGAGAGAGAGACAGTGAAAGTGAGATAGGATGAAGTGCCACAATCTGAGGGTGCTTAAAGACAAATGGCTGTCCTCCTCACCAGCGGCTGATTACAAACCGCCCCTGAATGCTTTTAATGAGATCATGGGCTACCATGACTGTGACTCTTCCTCAGCACCTCACGCCATGCTTTGACACATGAGCGGATGTAAAAAATATATATATTTTCATTATTGAAAACAAATCTATTATTAAAGTCAATGGAGCTGTCAACATGATATAGTTGTGATTTGGTGTGCTCTTTTGTAGTAGAGTATAAATGTAAAATAAAAATAAAAAAATTGTGTAACTCAATTGGCTGTATGTTTATGTTTCCAGAGTAAATTAATTCGGAAATAAGACTGTCTATTGCTATCAGAATCGTTAAAAAGAAAACCACAATGTTGTACAGGGCACAGAGTCCAAAAAATCCATCTGCATGTATGCTGCTGAGTCTCTAAGATTTAAGATTAAGATTTTTTTAAATGTTTTTGAAAGTCTTTCATGCTCACCAGGAGTGACTTAATCAAAAATGCAGTAAAAAAAAATAGTAATATTGTGGAAAAAGTATTACAATTTAAAAAAACTTTGATATTTTAATGTTATTTAGTAATGGCTGCTGATAATTCAGCTTTGACATCAAAGAAATAGTCTTTAGTGTCACATGATTCTTCCGAAATTATTTTATTATGCTGATTTGGGGCTCAAGGGACACGTCTTCTTCAATCACTTCAATAAAAGTAAAAGCAACTTAAAAATCTAAATATTTTGGAACATTGTAAATGTATTTACTGTTACTTTGATCAATTATATAAATCAGAGCTGAATATATGTACTGTATGTGTATTTAAAAAAAAAGTAAATCTTCTGATCCAAACGTTTGAATGGTAGAGTATATGGACTAATAGCTAAATGTAAATGAAAAATCAAATCAAATCTCAGCCATGAGTGAATATGGTCACAATATACTGCCTATCCCCATAGAAAACAGATGAAATTGGATCTAAAAATGGCATGAACTGACAGGTATTCAGCAAAAACTCAGGCTAAGCAACTTTGTATTCAACAAAACTATCAGAGTTCATTAAAAAAAATAAAAAAAAAATACCTATGACACAAATATTGTAAACAGCAAATGATCTGACATTATAGCTGCCCTGAAAGTTCTTGCTCAAGTTGATAGATTCATTACATAAGCGTTTTTGACAGGCCTTTTGACAGCACATTAAAGCATAAGGCACTCTCACAGCGTGATAAAAATCTCTTCTGAGAAATTGCAAATCCTTGCTTATCCTATTGCCAAAAACCAAAAAAAAAAAACCCCAACAAATCTAGATAACCTAGTTGAACTTTGAACAGCGGTCGATTAACAGAGCATCCTGACCCATCCATTGAGCACTCCCCCTCTGCAATGGGATTAAGAGAAAGAAACGTCAGCTACAAAAAGATACCACAGATTTATGCGTGCTGAAATAGTTATCGATTGAAAAAGATTGATCAATATTTGAGGGTTAAAAAAGAGGCTCCCATAAAATGCAAAAACAAAATGGATGGTGGCACAGAAGAAAAAAAGAAACCGAGACAGTGAAGATGTGAGAGAGACAGAAG